CATTTTGGTAACTGTATGGAAAAATACTTCTTTTGCATTGTGCATATATAAAAAAAATAATTTTCTTCATTTCTGAGAAGTTCAGGAATTTTTAAAATTATAGCCCCATATTCATCTGTTAGCCAATAAAAAAGGACCTTTTCAAAGGGATTTTATAGTATAATGTAGTAATATAATTTGTAGGTAGGAAAATATTACACATGCATTATACACACACACAGATATACATATGCACACACGTATACACATAGAATGACACAGATAGAGAACTTACAGCTTTAATTTTAAAAGTGTGGCCATGGTTCAGGCATAAACCCCAAAATGCTAAGACCCAGAGGCTCATATGAAATAGGTGACTCTCATCCTTGCCTCACTTTGACATTTTTACCAAGATTTTATTCCTCGTGGAGGGGCCAATTGAAGTAACTTGCTCAGTGTGGGGCTGCAACATCTTTACCAGTATTTGTGGAGGGGACCTTTAAGATGTCCTTTGCCACCATGTGCACAATCCTGTGGAGACTGTGGGCTAAACATCGGGAGAGGGACAGAGGAGAGACCACGCAGCCATCTGGCGTGTCCAAAGTCCCTGTGAGTGGCAACATGACCCAGCCTGTTTTCTAGCAGCTTTTGCAACCTCAGGCTGTTGCTCTTGGTGTCTCTGAGCTCCTCCGCAGCCCTCAGAGTGTTAGAGGGGCTTACATCTCAAGGGACTGCAAGGAGGTTGAGGGGCTGGAGTGAGAAAGGAAAGATCTGGCCAAGGTAGACAGAGGAGGGGGGCATTAGAATTAGTGAAGGGGGAGATCAAAGGATTCAAGGAGCTTAAGGGTAAAAAGAAGGCAAAAAAGGAGAATTTGGGAGGGTGAGAGATGAAAAGAGACAGGTCTTAGGCACTGTGTAGGTAGGAAGGTGGTTTTTGAGAGAAACAATAGTCTCTGAGACAGTGTACTGTTCAGATGAGATCTTGGAGTCAGGGGATTCGGAACAGCACTCAGAATGAGCCGCTAGGGATTAAGTTTCAGGAAAGAAAAGAAGGAGAGACTAAGTTCCCCAAAGAGGCCAGTGAGACTGTAAGTGGCCACTAGTAAAATTTTGCCATTTTGAAGACACTAGGTGAAAAGGGTGATGTAGGACACAGCCCAGAAGGAAGAGATCTGAGGTACAATGGTCACACTGACAGTCTCCCGTGATAACACCTGTTGGCACTAAGACCTCTGGACCGGAGCCCAGGTGTAACTTCCAGGGGGAGAGTCAGGGGCTTCAACCACACTCAACGCTGGCAGAACGAGGAGACAGAGCAGCAGAGAAAAAGACAAAACTGGAGGGAAAAGAAAGCCAAGTCTTTGCCATGCTACCACAGACAAACATTTGGAACGCTGCGTGAAGAGTTATCACTTACCAGTGTGGATCCCCATTTCCCAGCCGAGAAAGGACACGGCCTGATAAAACAGCCTTACTGCTTGGGTGAAAGAAAGCAGGGTCCGAGGGACAGTCATCCCTCCATCAGAGTCATGGCACCATTACTGTTAAGAAAAAGAAATTGCAATCTGGACGTTAGTATAAAAGACTTCCTTAAGAGAATATTGCCCTAGGAGCAGGGGAGTGTTGTAACAGAAAGATGCCCAGAGGCTAACTCAGAAATGTCCTGGGGAAGAAACTGGTTGGGCAAGTCTTTTAAATACAGAGATGGCGGTAGAATGTGGGTGGGGGGTGGTGGTAAAGTGGGGGCTGGGAGGGGGTTTTTGACACTTAACAAGCCTCATCAACAAAATGTCAAGACAGGAAATGTTGATTGTGGTTAGGTACAAGGGCTGGGTCTGGAGTGAAGATGAAGCAAACAAGTTAGAAGGCAGGAAGTTCTCAAAGAACTGAGGGCCTTGCGGTCTTAATGATGTCAAGTTCAAAGTTTCCTTAGACTTGTCACACCAAAAACTGCCTTTGTGATTTCCCAGAGGGTCTCTGGAAAATCACCAAGATGTGTTCTTTCATTTTGTATAAAGAGAAATGTTAGAAAAAGTGTTAATATGTGACTGAGGATGTGTTGCATTAAAAATATTATCAAATCAAAAGAAATGCTTAGACTGTCCTAGGTTAAATGTGTATGGGTAAAATGTTATTGACATAAATATTTAAACACTTGTATTCTGTATGAGAAAGTTCTGGAGAACTGTCAATGCTTTTGTTGACCATGATTTGTTTCTATTTACCCGGGTCCTGGTATTGCTTTGCCTGTAAGACAAAAGCTGTATAGTGTTATTAGTCATAATTTCAGTTACTTTTCAAACCATTCACTTGGTTCTAACTTTTTAAATTTGAATCTAGTATATTGCAGGCCAGTAGTTTTCTACTGGGAACTGGCAACACTCATCTGTGGAGTTTTATTAATTTATTGATGTTCAAAACCAATTCCAGATGTACTGAATCTATTTACTTGATCATTTTTCTTCCATAGGCACAGTGCAAAATGTTATTATTTTTATAGATAAAAAATCTTTGGTGGGATATGTTGTTTGAGATGGATGAGCAAAGAGGAAGGAGGCTATGAAGATGGGAAGGATGATGAGAGAGTGTTTTCTGGGGGAAAAAAACACACCACCTATTGTTCCCTGGGACACCTGGCCACTTCCCTGTTGCTTGGTAATCTTTATATATTCTTGTTACTTTCTCACAACGTGCTGGTATACATGGCATCTGGCGTCTCAGGATTTTTATATATTATATCTGGGAATGTTTTCTCTGTGAAGATTATGCTCTTGTACTTCCATAAATTAGATGTAATATCCACCTTTTTTTGAAAACGGACTTCAATCTTTGTGTTTACAGATGTTTTGTACAGAATTGTATTGGACTGACTTTGTTTTGCATGCCATGGCAACAAACAGATATGCTTGTTAATTGCGTCATTCTGGTAACAAACTCTCTTTAGGTTATTCCCTTCGGAAAAATATCAATAAGTAACCGATAGTAAGTTTTAGTCCTTTGACAGCTGTGGACAGTTTTGTCTGTGTGCTTTGTTTTACTCCTGATGCTTCCATGAAGGTGCTTGCACTCAGTTATAGGACAGAGCACTCCAGCTCATCAGAGAAAGACTATCTTAGAGCCTGGTGGAGAAGGACTATGCCAGCTACCCTTGGGCACCGGCTTCTGATGACATTGCTTACACAACTGTAACATCATACCAGTGGGCCAAGTCAGGAGTTCCAAACCTCTACTGGAAAGCGGATGCCTTCATGAGACTACTGACCCAAGCTCAAGTGGAAGAAGAGTAATTAATTACATAGGACTGAATGAACTGATGAACTAAATGAATATGAACTTTGTTTGGGAGAGTGCTGATGCATGAATGTTCTATTTTCTGCATACAAGGAACTGCTTTCTGTTAAGCTAGTTATCTCTCATAACAGTTCAGTAGCCTGTGCTCTTATAAACAGAAGTGAAACATTTTCCTGGTCTACCCTGACTCACATTTCCACAATTCTGAAACTCTCACTGAGGCTTCTTATTGTCATGGCAGTACAGTCATTTGCATAGATGCAACAAGAGTCTGTCCACCTTGTTAATAGGACATAATTGGAAACATTGATTATGCGACCAAGGCTTTGCCCATAATGTCACATTTGAGAATGATGCTCATTTCATCACATATGACCAGATGCTTCTAGGAACTAAGTTTGACTTGGTGGGCCAATGCTTACAAAGTCTCTCTTGGGCAGACTGGCCTGGTAACTGGTGTCACAGGGTTCCCAGCCTCACAGGTGAGGGAGGGAGGGTCACTTCCCGGCAAGCTCAGGAATCTTAGGCTGTTTGGGGACCTCAGGAAGAGAGGAATTGCCACCAACTCACTGGGTACTGCAGGTGACAAGTCATGGTGAATTCTTGGCTTGGCTTCCTATCCTCACGAGGCTTGGAAAGTCCAACCTGAGATTCTTTATGAAAACTTCCAGCAAATCTGAGACCTATGTGGTAAATTGTCATTCCTGGTGCATCTATGCAAATGGCCAGGCCACATCTAATGAGACCAGCCTTACTGTGTGACCCAGAGTAAGCTTTCTTGGAGATTGGCTTTGACCAAAAAGGGGCAGAAAGACCTGTAGAGAGAAATTTCGTGGTCCAATGGGAAACTCTCCTGGATGATCAGATTCTGATCCTATTCCCTGTCTCTGAGCAATTTTGCACCTCTCTGGAAACTGCAGGCATTTGATTGATATGCAAAGTCTGTCTTCTCTGGTAGATACTTGATTGGCTTCCTGTCCATTGTGGATCAACTAGTTTTGATACCTATTTATAAATTGGCTGTGGTTCTGTTAACATAGTACATATTGTTAACTGTTACCAAATCTTTCCATTCTTTCAGTTTCCTTCAATATCTGGCTACAGACTTCCAAAATAACCTGTCTACCTCTTCTCCCTTTCTCTTGACTTGAAGTTTTTGAGATCCAAAGCCTGAAAGAACTGTAGAGTGCAATTTTGTGGGGAGCTGTTAGAAATTTTGTGTTCCAGTGGGAAACTCTAACACACTCTTCTGAGTGATCAGATTCTGATTCTATTCAATGTCTTTGAGTTATTTTCCACCTGTTTGTAAATTGCAGTTGACTGAGCCATATGCAAACTTTGTCTTATCTGGTAAGCAAGCTTTCTCATTCATTGTGAAGACATGTTTTTGGTATTGAACTGGATTCTCTCACCTTGCACAGATTGTTAACCCTTACCAGAATCTCAGTCCTTCCAGATTCTTTCATTATCTGGCTACAACCTAACCTGAGCTTCCAAACTGAGCTTCCAGTTTTCTTTCTTCTTTGTGATGTGGAGTCACTGAAAACTAAAACTTCCAGATCCTTATTGAGACCCTGAGATTGCCTTGTAGCTGCTTCTTGCCTCCCAGGATCTGAAGAGCCATTGTAATTTAAGAAATCCAAGCCTGAGGGCTTATTGTAAGCCTCGAAGAAGGACTCATCATTTTAGTGGACCATTTGTGGTAGAGATCTCTCCTTGGATACGCTACTGTTTAAACTGCTACAAGAAGTCTGGTGAAATTCTTAGGTCACTCATGCCCCGACTGGAAAAGTAACCAATGCTTTGGACAACATCATCAATGCAGCTGACATCGTAACTTCAAAACATTCAATGAACGGTGAGAGCATGAATATACAAACAGGCAATGGCAAGACCATAGATAAAAATAAAACTCTGACACACATCCTCTGTAGCCACCAGTCTTACTATCCAACAACAACCTCTTCAACATCAGCCCAGATCATGACCTGGTCAATAATTGCCAGCTTCCCTAACTTTTTGCCCCTACTTCTAACTTAGGACCAACCACAGAAAGCTCAAATACATTCCTAACAGATTATATAGGATGGTCCACTTCTGGTTAGCTTGCTTCCAGCTTCTGCATGCTGAAAGCCTCCAGGTAGGGCCTACCTGAAGCCTCTCCTGTTTCCCACTAGAGCTTTCTCATTGCTCTACACGCATTTGAATTTCTGCCAAGTTCAAGTAATGGAGGTGATGCAGTTGCTATAGCAAGTTCTGAATAAATGCCTTTTGCTTGTTTTCATTTGAGTGATCTTCATGTATTTCCATAGTTTCCCGAAGCTTCCACCAAAATGCAGTTTGCACTGACTATCGCCATGGACTCCAGTCCTCATGCAGGCGTGGAAGCCCTTGTGCCTTGCTGCTTGCTTCTTGTCAAGTCCACAACAATGTGGTAAGTCAGCACTAGGTCTGCCCTCCACTCTTTTTTGTGTTGAGTCTCTTAGTTATTTATTCTCAGGTTGGAACCCGGGTTCCCACTTGTTTGATTTCCTTGGTGGAATCTAGCATTATTTTCATGGCTCTTTGCTGCATTTCTGGTACCATTTTGTCATGTGCTGCCTCAAAGTATTATTGGTCATAAAAAGAGACTAGAACACAGGTACATGCCTTATAAGCCTGTTGTTGATGGCAGGCTATAGACCAGTGACTTCGTGTTCTTATCAGAACTGCCCATTTGGACAAACTTTGTTGTAGGTCACCAATAAAACTGTATGGGATTCTCCATCTGTCTCCAGTTTTAGTTCTCAGAGCTTTCGTTTGTTTTTTTTTTTCAGAGTTTAGTTTTTGATTCGGAGAGAAACTTCCCTCTGGTGTTCCAGCTGCCTGGGCGTGCAGATTGTCAGGTCTGTGTTTGGAGGCAGTTGGTCATCAGTTTGGGGGCCTGACACACGAGGTACACAAGCATCTTCTTTCTACCAACCATTGCCAGCTCTCAAAAGTTCATCTAAACCTGAATCTCCTTTTCCAGGAAAAGTGTTGCTTTTTAAATTTATTCTCATTACAGTTCTAATTCCTTTATCTATCTTTCCAAATAACAAGATTTTCCCAAGCACGATTTAGGCTTTCAGTGGGTACTCTGGGGAACATTGCACTTTAACAAAATTGTTCATTTGAAAGGTTCCTTAGAAACGAAAAGGAGTCAGTTTTCTCAGTCTAAATGGGCAGCCTTTTTGATGGGCATTCAGAAGCCTCCAAATAAAATTCTGAACTTAAGAAATTGCTCCACTAAAAGAATCTTTGGCCAAAGCCATGAGCCATTTGACAAACTTAAGTAACAACGAAGTACACTAATTCACCTAGTAAATCTCCTCTGTCCTTCAGGTGCTTCCATATACCCTGCTCTTCTGTCTCTCTTCCCTCCTGTCCTTCAGTTCTGACTTCTTCTCTTCCATGCCTCTGCCAACCCCTCCCTCCTCTTCCCCTTTGTCCAGACCTTCGGACTTTTCCCAACTATCCTAAAACCCCCAGTGCCAATGCCTCTAAAAAATTTCATCCTTTCCACGTGCTAGGTAAGTTGTGCTAGGTAAAATTCCATTGTGCTAAGTAATTCAGAATTCTACACAATTGGAAGGCTCCTCCAACAGGGGACTTCAAATGGAGAACACTCAGAGATCTTGTAGACACAGCTGATCTTTAAAGCAAGCAGATGATGTGGACAATGGACAGCTTCTGCCCAAGATGCTGGAGTAGGACCTCTGTCTGATTCCTGTTTTGTTTTTGATCTCTCTGCTCATCATCATTCTTCTCATTTTTTATAGTCCCTTAGTTATTCACATATAATAGCAACTTCTCTTAATTTTTACCTCCTTGCATAATTGTTAGGTCAGAACATATTTCTTATAATGCAATTCTTAAATCAAATCAGACAGTAGCCACTGTCCTCAGCCTTACTGCCTGATGGATATACCATCCATCACTGGATCCCATTATAACACCTCTGGGCAAGTCCAATCTCATCAAATGAGACCATAAGAAATATAGCAGATGGCATTTCTGCTTGCACATACATGGAAAATGATATTAAAAAAATCAACTAGTAAATTATTTTACCAATTATTACAATCCACTGATCATACCCTATATAATTCTGACCTCATGTCACAATTACCTCCTTTTTTCCCTAGATCTCCAAGTATCCCTATTGAGTACTACTTCTTTGTGACCAAAATGCCTGGTTCTGTTTCCTTCAGACTCTGCCAGATGTAAGTGTTGGTGGTGACTCCTTTGCTGTATAGCCATAAATAAATAGTCTTTGCTCATTCTTAAGAGGGTGATTTTTCATTCCTTTTCACAGCAGTGCTACTTAATCAAAAGATTTCCTCCCCGCTAACTAACCTCTTGGAATCCACTAGACTTGTACCCCACAGGGTGTGACTCAAACTTTCGTATTAATATTTCTCTTTTTCACTTCAGGAATCCTGTTTCATATGCCCAGACTTCAAAATTCTAAAACAACCGACCTGTGCTAGAACCTTTCAACAGATGGTCCAACTTATTTTACAGAAACAACACCAACGAAAGTCCTAGAAAGACTATTAATGAGATCCTGCTTCATCTCTCTCAGGAGTTTTATACTTGTCTCTTAGCTGTTTAGGAACCTATTATATTCATTAATATTGAACAAAAGGAAGGAATGACTATGATGAACTTTACCTAAGTTCTGTGTTCCTGGAAGACAGTGATGCTTAAGAAATATCTCATGTTTAGGGCTGGGAAGGAGGGGTGATGGGCATGGGGTGGGAGGGATAGCAATCCTACATTTTTTCTTGAGGTGATGAAAATGTTCTCAAAATCGACTATGGTGATGGTTTCAAATTTGTGACTATAATAAAAATCATTGTATTATACATTTAAATGAGTGACTTGTAGAGTATGTAGATTGTATCTCAATAAAGCTGTTAAAAACTAAAGAAAACAAATGACCCATGTTTGCAGATGTTTAGCTCTTAGGAAGTCTGTTTCCTGAACATAAAAAGTTGAGAGCTAATTCTGAACTATCTTTGTCCCTTCGAATTCAAACTGCCAACATTTTCACCAATGTGATTCTCTTAAAAATTTTGTGGGCTTTCTAGGAATCTGATGAGAGGTTCACTCTATGCCCCAAAGCCACATCCATAATTTTTGGGTTGAATCTTCAACTAAGTCTGAGTTTTAAAATTTATGACCATTTTGTGGATCAGTTGTGAGATTCCACACTGATTTTGCTTGGATTCACTGGAAGGTGCAGAATATCTCACCCACATGTTTGCTTGCTGACTTTTGGCTGAAATTCCTGATTTTCTCTAATGGCTTCTCATTCTCAAATAAGCTAATTCAGCTTCCTTTCATGGCTGCCTCAGGGAAGTTTTCTAGAAGAACAAAAGCAGAAGATGCATAGACTCATAAAGCCTGACTCCAGAAGTTGTATTCTGTCATTTCTGTCATCTCTCATAGATCAAAGAGAATTATAAGCTAGTCTAGAACAAGAAGATACAGAAGCAAATTTCATAACTGGATGGGAGTCAAAGTCACATTACAGTATAGCTATGTCTTACTGAGATAGTAGGAGTTCTGAACATCAATTAATATATCAGTCACTATATATAAGAATTTTGGACTTTATCTTTTACTGCTTGCAGAGTCTCTGAAAGTTATCAATAGCAGGGAGATTATATGGCCAGTTTGAGTTTTAGAAAGATGACTCTGAAGGCAGTGTGAAAAATGAAGTCAAGAGAGAAAAGATTGATGTTAGGTAAAGTGTATTTAGAAGAGTAATAAAAGTCTACTCAACTCAGAAAAGTATAAGACACTGAAGGAAGAAATTAAAAATGATACAAATAAATAGAGGAATATACATTGCTATTGAATAGGAAGAATTAACATTATTAAAATGCTCATACTACCCAAAGCAATCTATAGGCCCAATGCAATTCCTATAAAAATATCAATGATGTATTTTACAGAACTGGAACAAATAATCCAAAAATGTGTATGGAACCACAAAAGACCCTGAATAATCACAGCAATCTTGAGAAAAAAGAACAAAGTTGAAGGACTCATGCTAGCTGATATTAAACTATACTACAAGGCCATAGTAATCAAAACAGCAGGGTATTGGCATAAAAACAGACCTAGTGATCAGTGGAACAGAATAGAGAGCCCAGAAATAAACCCATGCCTATGTGATCAATTAAAATTTGACAAAGGAGGCAAAAATATACAATGGGATAAAAACAGTCTATTCAATAAATGGTGTTGGGAAAATTGGATAGATAGATACATGCAAAAAATAAAAATAGACCACCTTCTTACACCATATATAAGAATAATCTCAGCCCTGGCTGGTGTAGCTCAGTGGATTGAGCTCAGGCTGCGAACCAAAGTGTTGAAGGTTCAATTCCCAGTCAGGGTACATGCCTGGGTTGCAGGCCATGACCCCCAGCAACCACACATTGATGTTTCTCTCTCTCTTTCTCCCTCTTTTCCCTCTCTAAAAATGAATAAATAAAATCTTTAAAAAAATTATTTAAAAGAAGAATAACTCAAAATGGGTTAGTAATTTAAATGTAAGATTCAAAACCATAAAAGTAATAGAAGAAAACACAGGCAGTAAAATCTTGGACAAGTCTCTTAGTAATATTTTTTTCTGATATATCTCATCAGGCAAAGAAAACAAAAAAAATGATCAAATGGGACTACATCAAACTAAAGAGATTTTGCACAGGAAAATAAACCATTGATAAAATGAAAAGACAACCCATTGAATGGGAAGATATATTTGCTAGTGGTACATCTGATAAAGTGTTACTATCCAAAATTTATAAAGAACTTATACAATTCAACATCAGAAGACAAACAAACAAAACAAACAAACAAAAAAATAATTCAGTTAAAAGTTGGGTGAAGGATCTGAACAGACACTTCTCCAGAGAGGACATACAGATGGCCAATAGACATATGAAAAAATGCTCAATGTCACTGGTCTCAGAGAAATGCAAATTAAACCCTTATTGAGATATCACCTCACACCTGTCAGAATGGCTGTCATCAATAAATCAACAAGTGCTGGTGAGGATGTGGAGAAAAGGGAACCCTTGGACACTATAGGTGGGAATGCAGACTGGTGTAGCCAGGGTGGAAAAACTGTAGGGAACTTCCCTATGACCCAGCAATTATACTTCTGGGAATATATCCGAGGAAACAGAAAACACTAATTCCAAAGGATATATGCACCCCTATGTTCAATGCAGCATTATTTACAAGAGCCAACATAGGGAAGCAACCCAAGTGCCCATCAACAGATGAATGGATACAAAAGACGTGGCACATATATACAATAGAATATTACTCGGTAGTAAAAAATGAATGAAATCTTACCATTTGTGACAGCATGGATCGACCTGGACAGTGTTATGCTAAGTGAAATAAGTCAGTCATAGGAAGACAAATATTGTATGATTTTACTCACATGTGAAATCTAAAGAATAACATAAATGAAGAAGAAAGACAGAAATAGACATAAACATAGAAGACAAACTGACACTGGCAGAGGGGAGGGAGTTGTGGGACTGAGGGAGAAAGGTGACAGAAATGAGAAGTACAATTGGCAGTCACAAAATAGTCATGGGGAGGTAAAGTATAGCATGGGAAATACGGTCAATAACATTGTAATAACTATATATGGATCCAGTTGGGTGTTGGAAATATCAGGGGGAACACTTTGTAAAGTATATTGATTGTCTAACCACTATGTTGTACACCTAAAATTTAATACAAAATAACAATGAATGTAGACTGTAATTGAAAAATAAAATTAAAAAAATAAAAAAGGATATCTGGAGATGATAGAGGCTTAAACAGGAATTGAAGAAGAAGATAGCTTAGAAATTTTTGAATTTGAGTCAGCGTCCAGCAGTTTCAAGAATTTATATAGTATGATCACTCACTCTACCATGACTAAATGTGTGCATAATAAATGATGTATCACACTCTTAACAACAGATGTTGTTATCTGTTGAACTATATCAAGTGAAAGCAAGTGGAAAACGAGCACAGAATTTGGGATGATGGCTATTTTAGATGTGGGAAAAGCCTTGGATTTTTGATTGGGTGGTGGGCTCATACTTGCTTTTAATATTGTTTAAAAAGGAGAAAGAGAAAAGAAGATGCATAATTACAGACCGAAGAGGAGAGCACAGTATGAGACAAGGATTGTTTTGTGTATCTGATCCATGAATGAAAGGATAATGCTCATCTGCTTTGTGAATCTTCAATAAGATGAATTAGCCTGTAGCTTTTCACAGATGTGCCTGTGGGAGTAATTTACCCACAGACTCACGGTGGGAGGTACCAAGGTACTTATCGTTTCTGTTCACATGTGAGGAAATTGAGTTTATGAAATGGAAAACAAATTTGTTCTTGCTTATTATGAATGTGATAGCTTTCTCTTGCTTCTTAGTCATTTGCTATAATTTTACTAGCTAATAGCCAGTCAATAACATTTAATGAGAACTGGATATTTTACCAGGTTCTGTGAATACTGCAAAATGAATAAAGTCCGTATTCTAGTCTGCAGAGGTGTGCGGTCTATTATAGTCGGTATGAGCTGCTGTAGCCTTAAGCACTTGAAATGTGGACAGTGTAGCCAAGGAACTCAGTTTCTAATTTTATTTCATTTTTATCAACTTCAGTTAAAATTTAAAATATTTTCCATTGAATAGAACTCTTGCTTTGATAGGACTACGTTTTACTGAAACTGCTCAAAACTGAGTGCACAAACTGAGGTGTGCTGTAAGCAGAGGATATGCACTAGATTTTGAAGGTTAGTGTGAAGAAAAACATGTAAAGTATTTTGTCAATAATCTTCTATGTTGATTACATGTAAACATGATAATTTTTGATATATAGGGTGGGACAAAAGTAAGTTTACAGTCATGAGTATGCAAACAGTTTATTCTTGTATTATTAATTTTTGTATTATTTTCCACACAAACAGCAATAAACCTACTTTTGCCCCACCCTGTATTAGGACAAAAAAATACTATTAAAACTAATCCCCCATGTTCTCGCCACTTCGAATGTGGCTGCTAGAACACTTAAAATTCCACATGTTGCTCATCTTTACTTTTACTTGACAGGACTGCTCTAGAATCCTTTTATTTCTCAGATAAAAGTCTGAAGCCGGAACTTTGAAACACTGTGCCTGCCCTGTGACCTCATGATCATCAGAAAAACAGAAGCCTCTGTGGTTTTCTGACTTTCAAACCGCTAGCTGCCAGTTGCCTCTCCTTGCTATGGCTGGTCACAGCCAAGGTTCCGGGGGGTCTGTCTCCACCACTGAGAATGAGGGAGGCTGGGGAGTGGGCAGCAGAGACGTGCTGTCCCTTGGTGGCAGTACCACCTGGACAGAGAGCATTCAGCACCGATTGGAAGCCTCTGCTTGACGTGTCTGTGTGGTCAAGCCTGCCAGCCGTGTATTCCTTGCTCGACTAAAAAGCGGTGGAGATTATTGCTCGAGAGAGAACCTTTCTGCATCAGCTCCGCCAGAGCTGACAATTGTCCCCAGGGCCATGCAAATTCCCTGCGTATACACGCCAGGGATGCAACAGGCAGGAGAGA